AATGCTGTTGGTTTTATAGTAGCCTAGCTGCCCAACAGAGTTGGTATGAGCCGAAGCACACATCTACTTGTTGGAATAAACTGTGGCCGTTGAAAGAGATGCTTATGGAGACTGTGCTGCACCAGAGATGCGGCTATGAGAAAATATTAAGTTTTTTTAAAAAGCTCAAATTTTATTATCACTCTGATTATAACCCTGTGAAGATGTGAGGATGACAAGAAAAATGACTGCAAATCCCTTGTGCTAGGCTGTTGTGATGACAGGATGGATGGAATGTGGAGGATTTTTCCCTGTCTTCTGAATTTCTAGTAATTTTTAACATTATTTTATAATTTTTAATTGAAAATAGAGAAAAACAATTTCATCTTTGGTGTTCTTGGCAAGTGGTGCCACTGAGGGGCTTAGACAAAGGCGGGCTGCAGCCTTGGTTTGGAAGCCCCAGGCCTGGCCAGTGAAGTCGCTGTCCCGCCTCATAGCAAGCGCAGCCTTTGGAGGACAGCCACTCCCCAGCATTGGCCCAGGGAACCTGTTCTCTCAGCACAGCCTCCTGCTTCAGCTAAAATGCATAATGCAGAAGATAAATTATCGCACAAAAGCTCAAACGTCTCTGCTTCTGACATTTGTACTGCTAATTAGTTTCTGCTTGGTGTTACATCCCATCTTCTCTGGTTTACTTTGAAACAAGATACGTAAATGTAAATACATTTTACATAGCCAGATTTCCACTTCAATATTCAGAGGCAGATGTATAGTTTGTCTTCCCTGAGTACGTGACCAGTGCTCAGATGCTACATTTATACCATTATATTTCACTTCATTCCTACAGCATTAGAAAAGCAAGTCTGTTGGGAGAAGACCCAGTTAAACACAAAATCTTCAAAATAGGTGTATTTTTTCTTCACTAAATATCAGTTCCATTGTAGTGGTAAGAGTTACCACCACTCTTTGAGTCCCTGCCTACACAGGCACATGGGTGAGATGCATGTGTGTGCACACACACGAGAGTTGGTTGCAGGTACTGCGGGCCTCCTTACAGCGGGTAGCCTGGGCTCCTGGAGAGGCGGCCTTGCCCAGGTCCCCGGCCACCCTTTCATCCCTGGGCAACTCCAGGCTCGTGCTTTTCCCTGGGTGGTGCAGGCTGTTGTCTTAATTTCCAAATGGAGTTCAATAGTCCAGGGAAGATGATCTGAACTAACTTGAGTATTTAATACATAATTTTCCTCAGCCCACATCTTTACAGAGCCAATATGCTCCCATAGTTTACCCCTTTCCTGTGAAACTGCTGGTGTTCTTTGAATTTTCAGGGGTAACCCCCACCTGACTCCGTCTCGTGGCCCGGGACAGGTGCCCTGGTGGGCTGCACTGCAGTCCCTCCACTCCTCTTCCTCCCCTCCCAGGGAAGCCTTGGGGTGATAACAGGCGTTACTTACTCCATTCAGTGTTCAGATCCCATTGTTTCTTCTTCTGGTTACCATGTAGCATAAATTGCTCATGTTTACTGACAGATTTATTTCCAGCACGAGGTCAATTAACTTGTTACACATGAATATATACATTTGGGGCTGGATGAAATTATACAATTAACTTGTTACACTTGAATATATATAGGTCTGGGACTGGGTGAAATTATACAAGTGCGAATGCTGGTGATTAGCTGTCACTCTGGGGTAAAGGTGTCCCTAAGTCCTGCCAGTGTTACTTTCTCTACAGTTCTCAAGTCAGTCTGTTTTTCAGCATCCTTTCTGTACTTGTCTGGTTCAAAATCGCCAGCCTTTTCCTGGATGACTGGCAACTGGTCTTCCTGCCTCAGGGCTCTGGAGACCCAGAAGGAACAGCCTAAAACGTAGTTCACTCACTCAGTTCACTGTCCTGCTTCAAGGCCATTGGTGGCCCGGCAGCAGGTGAACCCAGATGTTCCCAGTCCCCCCCACAGAGGATCCTGGTCTGTCCAGCTCCTACAGACCCGGTTTGTTGTACATTGTGCTTACTCTGTTGACCTTCCTCTTTATACCTCCTTACCCAGCTAGCTCCTTTCCTCCTCCAAGGTGACTCAGGTGTCAGCCCTCCAAGAAACTGTCCCTAAAGGCCCTTCCCCATCTCCATAGCTAATCCTCCTCCTCTTGTTCCTCCTACTCTCTCAAGGTTCACACCATCCCTTGCACTTGCTTGTGCTCCCGGCAGAGCCTGAACTGACAAAATCTCCCCTCTTGGCCACCCAGCAAAACAGCCTGGAGCTGGGGAAAGCTCCAGCAAAAATTCTCTTGGAGGAAAGGGAAAAAACTCTCTCCCTTAGAAATGAATCAGCCGTATGTCCTGTGGCCCAGCATAGGTGGAAGCATGGCTGCAGCCCTGGCCCAAGTAGGACCGCCTTGCTCATGGCCGTCTCCCAGTTGGTGGTTACTGTGGCTCTGTGATGGTTACAGAGCAAACAGACCTGCAGGTGGGGTCCTGTCCAGAACCTCAGTGATGAGTGCATTGCACCTGCTTCTCTTCTCAGCTGGGCACTGGAACAAGCACAGGGGACAGGGAAGGGACACAGCCCCCAAGCATGCGAAACAGTGGAGTTTGGGTGCCCAAGCCTTTCAGGAGACCTGGGATGGTTTCTTTTTTGCCTTTGCACTGTGCTATTGTGCAAGTGATACACAGGCCTCCCCTCAGTGAGCCTGCAGTTGACAGGCACCACAGAGCTGCAGCCCCACTAGGCCCCTGGGCCCACGCAAGCACATAGCACACGTGCCACGTATAGATTTGACTACCTAAAGTGCAGGTTGATTTTAACAGTGCCTCAGGTTTTCAGGCAAAACATACTTCCCACATCTTGAGGGTTTATTTTGTCAGTGATGAGCGGGAACAGGTGGTGTAGACCGCACGCATGAGATCACTTAGAGTGGTCAGTGAACCCCAAAGCTCAGGTCTGCAGGCCTCCCCAAGACCTTCTGGTCCTCTCTAGCCCCAGGCCCTGGTGTCTGTGCCTGTCAGTGGCCAGGTGTCAGCAGCAAAGCCCCCCAGGGCTGGGGGTGTTCCTGTTTGTCCTTCACAGCCCTGCGTCCTTCCTAGAAGGCTCTGCTTGGGCACAGCATGACCAGCAAAGGTATCTGCATTGTTCTTTCACATGGCTGCGTCACCAGTAAGCCTGCAGTGTTGGGATGGACCCTGTGAAGATGACTGCATGCAGGTGCACACTCGGAGATGCCTTTGTTCAAGGAAGATTTGCTTTCTTATCAGAAATAAATAATTCATATATTAACAGAGTGATTAGCTTCCAGTCAAGAATTCTAACATTTTAAGGCCACAATTTAGAGGCAGGTTAAATTTGTCAAGTGACTGAGAGTGAGGTTTTTCAGAAATTATTAGCTAATTTTTTTCAATATAGGATTTATAGTCACAATTAGTATATCGTAATGATATTTCCAGGATAAAATACCAGCAGCTCAACTTTTCTGGCCACAAATGTACAACATATATCAGTTTATTTTTGGAGCTCTAAAAAATTAGCTACTGTAAATAAAGTCCCTAAGAAGATTTCTCCCGGAAAGAGGTGAACTTACAGTAATCTGGGTGATGTATTATTAATTAATAACTATGACCAGCCACTGCTTCAATTAAGAGGACAACGGATGAGGAGGCCTAATAGAAAGGGCACGCTGAATTTTAATCTCCAGGCCCTGGGGTCTGTTACACTGGCTGAGGAGGCTGTTTCTGCAGATGTGAGGCCTGTGGTGACATGGGCCTGGTGCCCCGCACTCCAGGCAGGCTCACTGGGCACTGACTGCATTTTTCTCTGACAATGCTTCTTTGGCTGCCAGTAATGGAAAACAGCTTCAAAACAGCTTCAGAAGAATTTCTTGGCTGCTGGGGTCTTCCAGCTCCATATGTGCTCGTGAGCTGGGGGAGCTTCACATTTGGCCAAGGCCAGAAGTCCTGAAGCCCCTCATTCTAGCCTCTGTCCCGGTACAGGCCAGACAGGCTGGCATCACTGTCAGGAGGGAACCTGCTCAGTGTCCCTACACAGGAAGTGTAGACCTGGCTGCAGGTGTGGCTAAGCAAGAAGCAGATCTTGACAAGCCACACACAGTACAACAAATCCACGAAGGAAGGGCCTCTGGAGTATAGCTTGAAGGTGCACCTGGGACAGCACCAGGCAAACCAGATCACCAAGAGTGGGCCAGGCTTTTCTGTACAGATCAGTGGGAGAGAACATCCCAGGTGGGGTCTGAGGTCTGTGGGGGCAGTGGGGTCACATGAAACTGGACCAAGAGGCAGTCTGAGAAATGACAGTGTCACTCTGAAAAGGTTGGCGGGGAACGAGGATGAATTTGTATCTGCGTCAAATGTATATCAGAAGACCGGAACAGTGGGTTCAGTCTGTTTCCTGAGGTGCTAGCACTCCCATCCCCATCCTTCCAGGCTAGAAACGACCCAGGCCTCTGGGAGCAGCTTCCATATGGCTCCCAAGTCCAGGCTCCCCTCCAGGCAGGACTCAGCTTCCAGAAGGAGCCAGGGCTGTGGGAGAACCTCTGTGAGAGCTTGGCTGTGGACCTGCTCCTTCCATAGCTCATGTACTTGACTTTAAGCACTATTTTATTTTTAGAGTAATAATTTGAGGTTAATTGGCCTTCTACCTTAAAATACTTCCTTTTCCACGTAATTTTTTTTTTTTTTTGTACCAGGGATCGAACTCAGGACCTTGTGCTTGCGAGGCAGGCAGCAGCACCACTGAGCTAAATCCCCGGCCCATCCATGTAATTATTCTATAGTAGCATCTCCATAAATCCTTCCACCGTGGCATTCTCCTGAACACACTCCAGGGTGGAATGGGGCCCGACTAGCTGTTTGATCTTTACTTTTTGCAGTCTGTTTTACACCTAGCCTGTGACGAAGGCTCCAGCCACTCCAGCAAGGAGCAGCCCAGCCTCCACCTGCGTCCACTTGAATGGGGCGAGTGGGAACCTTCCTGTAGGGAACTCAGCAGCACTGCCCCTCTTTCTCTCTCTCTCTAGGTCATGCAATATTTAAACTCACGTATCTAAGCAATCACGACTATAAACACCTCTACTTCGAATCTGATGCTGCTACCGTCAATGAAATTGTGCTCAAGGTAAGTTCTTTCTTGCCCAGGGGGCAGGATGTATGGGTTTAGTTGTTTCAGGCTGGCTGCAGCCCATCCTCAGGCACCAGGCCAGGAGTCTGCATCCAGGTTAGCAGAGGAGGAGCCATGCTGCCCAGCGATGAACACCAAGGCCCAGGCCACGCAGCCTGGGTCAGCAGCTCTGCACCCACTCTGCCAGAGCAGGACCTCCTTCAGCTTCCTCTCCCCCGCCCAGTAGTCCTGGCTCTTCCTGTTGGTTCTTTTCATGCACCATTCATTTTCTTCCAGTCATTGTCAGTAGCTCCTTGAGGCTCCTAGGGTGGACTCGGAGGAAATGATGGTTCCAAAGACACCTCAGTTGTGCTCTAAGTGATTTTCTCAGCCTGCTCAAAACATACCCAGCTTGAGCTTGGCTTATGTGTTACTGAACCTAAACAACCCTCATAGCACCCTCTGTGGGCCAACCTGTTGCTTAGGATACCACGGTAACAGGCCAGTCCCTATCTCCAGAGAGTTCCACCTCTGTCAGGGGAGACAGAATGAAACCATTACCAGAATATTCATAGCCACAGAGATGCCATGCAGGTATGGAAAGGGTGAGTGGACTGGCTGTGGAGTAGGGAGGCAGGAGAGCTGAACCTGAATGAGGGGTAGAGCAGATTCCTGGCAACCTGTGAAGGGTGGAGGCAGGTGCTCATGTGTGGCCAGGAAGCTGGAGCAGCCAGGCCACACCACACCTCGCAGGGCAAGGCTGGTGAGAGCAGCTCTGCTTGGCCTAGCGGCCAGCTGGGTCTCTGATTCAGGAGCCCTGAAAGAGTCAGGACTGCTGTTTCCAAGGAGCACCAGGTGTTGCCCAGTCTGATCAGTGCCCCACGGGCTGAGCAGCCTACTAGGACTTTCCTACATTGAGACTTCTTCCTGCAGCCAAATCTTAGGTCATTTGACCAGATGGAAAAGCACAGCTGGTCTGCAGAGGGGTTAGAACCCAAGATGTTTCCTCACCCCTACTTGGGTGGCCCTGGCTCATCACTTCACCTCACTCGGGCTCAATTTCAACACCACCACCAGCAAAATGCTGCTAGGATGAAAATAAGACAAGAGGTACTAACTCTTCCTAGGGCATTATTCATTCTCTTCTTAAGTCACCAAGTAATAGAAGCAGTGAAGATGCACTGAGGGACATGGGACCTGGGTTAAAGGCTTCACCCATCCCCTCACATTGAATCTTCACAACTCTGTGAGACAAACCTGCGAAATTGTTCCCATTTCCTAGGTGAAAATGAGGCTCAGGAGGAAAAAACAAAACAACTTAGCCAGGGTGGTGATGCTGCTAAGTTAGCAGCACCAGAACTTGAGCATAGGTTTGCAAGTTCTTCATCCCCCAAATCTATGTGGCCTTAAGGAATTGATTGGGAGATTTTAGCACATGGAATTGCTTCACAGGCACATTTTGAGCATAGTCCCCACAGCTGCAAAAGGTCTTCAAAAATGATGGGTGAAAATTTAAAGGATGAAGCTGTTTGGAGGATGGTTTGGGACCAAGACAGAGTGGCATGGTCACCAGATGGAAGGTGGGGGTCTGCAGACCACTGACTGAGGCCCCCCTCACCGTGAACCAGGAGACAGAGTGCCCACCCAGGGGTGCTGGAGAGTTATCTGCCAGATCATCACCAAGCAGCCACAGGAACTTTTAGGGAGTAGGTAAAGAAATATTCCAGTGCCCCGAGAGGGGCTGAACTTACTTTTATAGCCAGCATTAAAATATTCAAGACTTGAGAAGGATTCTAGTAAAATTATAATCCTGTGTTTGACATCAAAATAATTTTCACAACAGCAGATTGATGACAGAAACACAGGTTTATGACTTCAATATGAGACTCTGGAAGATCAAGTGCAAAGAAATCATTTTACAGGACCAAATGCTCCTTCGAAGCAGATGCTCTCTGCAAAATCCCTGAGGCCTGTCACCTCCCCTGAAATGTCTGTTTTCATATCAAAATGTGTATAGAAACACTGCATCATTCAAGAGACTCCAGGAGGGGTGCGGCCTGCCCAGGCCTGATTTACTTGGAGCTAATGATCATGGTCCTGATGCAAGATTGAATTTCACTTCCCTAACTTTGATTTTTATAGCAATTTAAATACTAAGCTTCAGCCACCTTTCCCCCAGGGTCAGGCCTCTGTCTTTGCACTGTGTACCAGCTCCAAGTGACTGAGGCCCAGCCCTGTGCCCATCAGAGGTTTTTCAGGGTCAGTCTCAGACTCAAGGAATCACACATGTTAGGACTTTCATGTCAGAGGAGGCTGTAGGCTGAAGTGAAAAGGAAGTCACAGCCAGAAGCTGTGGCAGAACAGCTCTCATGCACAGGCAGCCCTCCATCAAGTTATTTTCTCTTTTCCTCCATGTAGAAATATAAATCTCTCCCAATTTTTATACCAACTATTTATGATTTTATGTACATTATCCCATCTTGTCTGGCCCACTGTCCCACGGTGTAGACATTATTGTCCCCATTTTATAGATGAGACAGAAGCCCAAGGCCACAGAGCTTGAAAAGGTGGAGCCTGGGCTTGAAGTGGCCAAGGAGTCCCAGGGCTGCTCTCCTATTGGGGTACAGTTGAGCCATGCTATGTGTGGTCCCCAATTCTGCAGGCTCAGAGATGAATCTCCAAGGAATCCCTGGGCTCCTCAAATCAGATTCTCTTAGTGATGGAGTGATGGAAACTGTGGCTTTATTGACCATGAAAACTCCCTATATTTTTATGCCTTAAGCTGTAAAATGCATTGAAAGTGAAACACTCTATAGTGCATAAAATTGTGCAAGTTTTAAGCCACAGCATATTAACCAGCTAATGGCAGACCAAAGGGCGTTTTTATCTTTTGATTATTACATTAATCTTCCATTAAAATTATCTATGTGATTATCACAAAGCCCTGAAGATAATAAATTTAGGAAATAGTTGGCTTGTTAAGGATTATTTTAAAATGCTTTTGTCAAATTATATGTGCCAAAAATACACTGAAAGCACTAGGTTGGCTGAGAGTGCAAACACTGTAACCCAAAGCTTGCTTTTATTAAGAAAGATAAAACCCCTGATTTCCATACATCCCAGATAGGGCCCCAGCCCCGTGGTCCTGATGATTTATTACTCTCAGCTGGTAGCTTGGCGAGGCAGTGGCCGAGCATGTCAGGCCTTCTGTGCCCACACACCCGCCTTTACTGCCTGCTGCTGACAACAAGAACAGCAAGTCTGGGGACGGTGTGGGTGTGGCTGCCTCTCATGCTGTCCTCTTGAGGGTTCTGGTCCCTGCTGTCACAGAGGCCTCCCTTGAGCACCAGATGCATGGCCCTCGGAGTAAAACCTGTGGGGGGGGGGGGCTGCCTCCTCCTCTAACCAGGATTCTTAACTTTTAGAAGTCTGAGGGTGTGGAGAAAGTGTTCACAGAAAGCAGAGGGCAGTAGGGTGCTGAGGGGAGCCGAGGCTTACGGTGCTGCACAGGGTGGCCCTGTGACCTCCCTGAGATATGCAAAAGCAGCAGCACACCCCTGCCGTGTCCGACTCCCCAGTGACCTTGGCCTTCTGGGCCCGCCCTGCGCTCTGAGCCTCACTTTCACTCCTGTCAAGGAGCCCTGGCTGGCTGCTGGGTTGCTTGTGAGCTCTAAGGAAATGGCGCAGTAGGAAACCCCCTGCTAACTGCAGAGCTTTGTTTGGGTTTCTCATTGCTGTGATGTTTTTGTTCTTCAGATGCAGAGGGTGGTGGTCGGGAAGGTGTGGGCCCAGGTTCCAAGGCAAGCAGGAAGCAGAGCCAGCAAGTCCAGCGCAGCCCCCGAGGAAGCAGCACACACCAAGGGGGCTGCTCTGTCCTGACCTGCACGGAAGCCCTGATGCCTGGGACTCCAGCCACAGCAGTGTACCTGGCCCTAGGCGCCCCTTCCCTTCCAGGCCTGCCCCGGGCGAGATACAAGCACTGGCAAGTGATAGGTGTGTCCTCTCGCTTTCTAGGTTAACTACATCGTGGAATCACGAGCAAGCACTGCCCGGGCTGACTATTTTGCTCAGAAACAAAAAAAACTGAACAGACGTACAAGCTTCAGCTTCCAGAAGGAGAAGAAATCAGGGCAGCAGTGACACTGGCCTCCACCCTCAGTCTGTGGCTGCAGCTCAGAGCCCGCCTGCCAGGGCCAGGTGGCCCCAGAGCCCACCCCGAGTCCTGCAGTGCCTGGGAGAGGCCAGCCCTGGGCTCTGAGCTGAGAGCTAGGGCGCTCTCGGGGAAGGTGTGCGGGTGGGGGCACCTAGGCTGGTGTGCAGGGCACGTGACATGGACCGAAGTGGCTTTGAGTAGCAATGCCCAGGGGCCAGACCAGCCCCAAGGAGCCAGAAGCCGCCTGGCCAGCTTCACTGCCTGACAACCCTGCCTGAGAGTGTACATAGCCATGCCAGACATTTCCTTGCAACTTGATCAAATTTCTTAAAGCAAACGAAGAACAAAAGTGTACATTTCTTTTTTTTTCTTTTAATAAACAGGTGTACTCTTTATCATGGTTGGTATGATGGACCATTCTTTGGGGTGGAGGATTGATTATGTTATTCCCTTTAAAATCTGTTCCCATATTGAACAGGCAGATTGGAAAGGCTATGGTTCGATTTCTCAGAAGAAATGTTTAGGGCTTAGTCAATAGATTTAACTATGCCATTTGTTTAAATGAGTGCATTGGCTTCGAGGATAGTGCCGTACTAAAAGTTAGGAACGAGGACCTGGCGCTGCGTGCGTGTCCAAGGCTGTGCCTCTTCCCCTCACAGATGGGGCGCTAGGAGGACGGGGTGACGGCTGTTCTTCGGGTCATGCCGAGCCGCCCAGCAGGGTCTTTTCCAGTTCTTACAGCAAGTGGGAGTTCCAGCTGGCAGTTAGACGTGCCTGAGGGTGCCCCGGCCTGGGGGTCTCTGCTCTGATGGCTGTGCGGGACCTGACTCCCGCCAGCTCCCTCACCTCGCGTGCCCAGTGCGAGCCGGCAGGAAGCTGCTGTCGGTGTCGCTGAGAAAGGAAGCGGAAGGAGCGCGTCCCCGGCAGCCCATTCCGCGGTGGGAGAGACGTGGGGCCAGGGGCCCCTGACACCACACCTCTGGCCACACCAGATGCCTCTGCGGGCCTCGCCCAGTTCCTCCACAGTGACGTCCTTACCTACTGCCCCCGGCCAGGGCCAAGGGCCAGATGTCTCACTGAGGACCTGCTTTTAAAACATTTTTTAAGTCGTTGTACAGGAAGAGGTGTGTCTAAAGAGCATCTCAAGGTCAAGTGTATTTCTTTGCACAGGGATCATTTTAATGAATTCCTTTTTCATTTTGCCCTTTGTTCAGCCAACAGGAGCATCCTTTTCTAAAAGAAATATTATTTGTAGCTTGCTATCCGTATTTGAATTTTTAGCAATTTTATATTTAGATATCTGAAAAATGTAAATGACTAATTTGGTCATTAAATCTTGTGACATTCAATATTAAAATAAATGTCATAGAAACAGTCTTTGGCATAACTTTGAGTTCCTGAAGTTGCGTACATGATGCTGAGCACTGTGACTCTGTGGGTCGCCCGGATGACACCAACTGGCACTTGTTGCCTGGCGTCTCTGAACTGCATCACAGTCACAGGGTGACACTGAAATTACACCTCCTCCAGCTACATCAGAGATTGCTTACTTGGGGTACAACACAGTCTGTGTCTAACGTGTCCAGTTGAAGGAGTGACTTCAGGGGACCGCTGTGTGACCACTGCTGGGCAAGACCAAAGCTTGATACTCATTTTGTCCTCAGCCCCCTCCTCACTCCAAACCCAGATTTTAAGGCGAGGCCCCAAGCGCAAGGACACAAGTGTCTCATGCCATCCCCAGCGCCAGGCTTGCACAGCCTGAGCCCAGCGTGTCCCGTGACCCCCAAGCGACCTGACTCCCCATCCGGCTTCCAGCGGGTCTCCCAGCCTGGTGGCAGTGTGGACGTTGCCCGCCGTCACACCCGAAGCCAGTGTCATGCTTGTTCGTGGCTGGCCCTCTGGACCCTGAGGGGGAGCCTGCTGTGCCCAGGCTGTTGCTCCCATGTCACTCCCGCAGACAGCCTGGCCATCTCTGTCACTACCTTCATCTCCAAGGTGAGGACTCGGGCCTTGGGTCGCCTCACTGGCCCCTGACACACCATGAGTGACTGGCACCATGGCCCTGCCCTTCACGTGGGCTCCACCCTCCACTGTTGCTTCCTAGCTGGGAGTCAAGTGCTGGATTAACTTGAGCTCTGCTGGCCCCTCTGGGGTGATGCGCACCCCAGGGTCTGTGTGAACCATGTGTCCCCTCCACACGGTGGCTTCTGTCACAGGGGTGCCCTGTGGAGTTGAGTCCAGCCTCCTCACTGGACAGTCTTGATGGCTGTGTGTCCAAGGCTGGCAGGTGGCCCCATGGGGTCTTCTCCCTGCAGCCTGCCAGATCTTCCTTGGAGAAGCAGATCAGGGGATTCTGGTCAGGCCACCCCACCGTCCCGCCGTGAGCTCCACACACTGTGGGGCCCAGCACACTCAGGGAGGGTGCAGGGCAGGCAGTGAGGACAAGGAGGCAGGTGGGAGGGGGCAGCCAGGCACAGGCTGAAGGCTCAGCTGTGGGGAGCAGCAGTTGGGCTGGGGGCTCGTGACACCCCCCCAGCCTGATGGAGCAGAAAAGCCACAGCTTCCCAGTGGACCCTTCCTACCGTGCCACCTGACAATCCCCTTCCTTTCTTGGGACCCAGGACACCTATGACAGGTGGGCCATTAAGCTCCTGCAGCCTAAGTTGAAGGAAGCATGCAGCCCCACCCCCAGCCCACCGGGGGAGGCGGATGGGGGCTAAGGTGCAGTTTGGATTAATGTTTTGTATATCTTATCATTAAAAAAAAAAAAAACAGAAAGCACCTACCTGACACCTCCTGGACACAGAGTCCTTCCTGGCCCCCAGGTCCCCCTCTGTCTGTCACAGGATCCCCAGTGGGCTCTGTCCCACTGGCCTGTGCCTATACCCCTCCACCTGCCTGGCCCTTCCTCACCCACTGATTTTGGAAACAAAGCACAAGCCAGAGTCAGGCCAATCGCACTCCAGCTCCAGCGCCATGTGCTGCAGGTGGGTGAGTTACCTTACTTCATGGGCCTCCCCTGTCCCTTCTGTCCTTCCAGGGGTTGGCGAGGCCTCATCGGCATCAACAGGCAGGCCAGGCTCCACAGTGTTAACAAGCGGCCTCCGTGCCTCAGTGGCTCGAGAATCAGTCACGGGTCCCACGTCAGCCTCCACAAAGGCTGGGGCAGGGGACAGGCAAGTGACAGCACTGGAAAGAGACACGTGTCCCTCCTGCCACTGCCACTCACCTGCCATTGCCCAGAATCACTCACACAGTGACACCTACTCCAGGGGAGGGAGTTTACTGAGGATTGAAAGCCACACAAGCTGGTGGCCCACACCTGTAATCCCAGCACTTGGGACCCTGAGATAGCAGGGTCACCACGAGTTCCAGGCCAACCTGAGCTACATAATGAGTTCAAGATCAGCCTGGACTATGGAGTGAGATCCTGTCTCAAAAAACAAAACAAAACGAAAATCACAGATGTTGGAGAAACCATCATGATATCTGCCATCGTGAGATGACACCATGCTTCCCAAATGTCACCATTCATAAGTAGCACTTTGTCTAGGATTCACTGTATTCCTTCAGATTACCCCAAGCTGGCATTTTCTACCTTAAACCCCATTCGAAACAAGAGGAGCCAGGGAGTCACGGACTTGATAAACTGCATATGTTTTTTGATGCTCGTTAAAATAAATACGTAACCATTCAAATTAAAAACATCCATCCAGGCCAGGGATGTAGTTTAGTAGTGCCACACCTGCCTGGCAATCGAAAGGTCCTGAGTTCAATCCCCAGTACCTAAAATAAATAAATAAATACAAACATCCATCCTTGCCTGGGGTGGTGGTGGACACGTGTAACCCAAGCTACTTGGGAGGCTGAGGCAGGAGGATTGCAAGTTCCTGGTCAATTTGGGCAACTTAGCAAGAACTTGTCTCAAAAAATAAAAAGGTCTGGGCTGAGGATTTAGCTCAGTGGTTTCACCGCCTGCTGTGCAAGTGCAAAGACCCGAGTTCGATCCCCGGTACCAAAAAAATAAATAAATAAAAATAAAAAGGGCTGAGAGTGTAGCTCAGTGCAAAGGCCCTGGATTCAATCTCCAGTACAAAAAAAAAAAAAAAATCCATCCCTGTAACCCTACAACCATGTTGTGTGTGACCCACGTTAGCACTTTCTATTCTTTCACCAGTGCCTGCCCCAGCCTCTTACAAAACTGTCAACTCACGTTCGTTACTATTAGTCACCCTCATTCATCCCATCCTCATGCCACCTGATCCCCATTTTACAGATGAGGAAACTGAGGCAAGGGGAGGGAAAGTCACCCACCCAAGGACCTGCAGTGTGGGAGTGGAGTTGGAGGGGTCCTCTCCTGCCCCTCACCTCGCAGCCCAGCTGCCCTGGCCTCACTGGGCCTCCCCCGTGGCCGGGCAGGCCCAGAACCCAGATCCTGCAGCCCCGCGAGGCCTCAAGGGCTCGGCTGTCATGTTCCCTTCCCACCGCACACCTCTGCTCCAGTGCAAACTCCCAACAGGACCGGCGAGTGCCACAGACGCCCGGAGAGTGATTTGTGGGTCTCGGAGCCCGGTAATCTCGTCAGTGTAATGGGATTATATTTCAAATCGCCGCGGCCTGTTCATTACTCGTTTAAACTTCCCTGACAGGAAAACTTGCATACAGCCGGCCTCGCCGACCGCCCCGCTCTCCTGCCTGATTAGACAAACAGATGCTGAGGTCTGGAATGAAGAAATAATGCGCCCATTTATTCATTTTTCTGACAAGTCACAGTAGATTTCAGCTGCCAATGAGTGACCTCCCGGAGGTGCCCACCAGGCAGGGCGTGGTCATTTCCGCCCGCCGCCCCCTGTCCCGCCCGTCCGGGTCCCCGGGGCCACGCCAGCTGCAGCCCGAGCCCGGTCCTCGCTCAGCTGGGCCCAAGTGGCGGCCGAGGGTGCACAGCGAGCTGGGGGAGCTGCCCCTGGGCCCCGCTGCCACCACATAGGCGGCCCAGGGACCCCGCAGGGCAACCAGGCCACAGGGGCAGTCTGCAGTCACGTGGCTCCAGCTACCAATCCCAGCTCTGCCCGAGTCTAGCGGTGTTGAGAACACCCGCGTTCATCCAAGCCTCAGTTTCCCTGGCTGTAAAATGGAGGCTGTGAGAGGCCCCGCCAGTGGTGGGGGTTCCCCGGGACAGCCGTCCATCAGCTGTGACCCTCGCCCTGGTGGAGGCCGGCGGGTCAGCGTCATGGGGTCACAGCCGCAGACGGAGGCGCAGGGCTCTCACCCCTCAGCCTCTCCTCTCCCTGGCCATGGCGGAGCAGAGGTAGGCTGGGGTTGGGGGGCAGCTGGCTCAGGTGCCTCAGCTCTGCCCCCCCACTGCCCAGGTCCTGCTCCAGGTCACCTCCTCATTCACAG